GTAGGATAGTAGTATTTTAAAGTGTCAAATATAATAATCAGACCCTGCAATAGAATAAATCAAGTTTCACTTTAGTTTTTCAAGTAACTCAACTCTAACTCACTAACTCACTCACTCAGCATCATCAAGGTTATCTTTTAGGAATATGAGCATGTCCACATTTTGAGGTAGAAGCTGGGATGTTTGGGCGTTTACAATATCCCCTGCTGTAGAAAAAACTCTCTTGCTTGGTACTGATGTTGCTGGGACAGAGAGATATGCTTTGGCCATGGGTAACAGCAGAGGGTAAAACTGTGCATTGTCTCTCCACCACTTCAAAAACAATACCGTTTTTGCCAAGAAGGTGAGGCTTATTGACAGGGCGAGATATAAATATACTGTTGGTACTTGTCAATGTCTCTAGGTATGTACATGTAGCCCTGTAAATACGATGTCCTTTATTGTTATCTGTTGTTTTATGTTCATGTTATAACCTACTTGCTGCCATGTTGGACAGGTCTCCCTTGAAAAAGAGATTGATGATCTCAATGGAACCATTTGGTTGAATAAAGGTTTAAAAAAAAAAAATTAACAATAATAATATTTTGTCAGTCTCACGACGGTAATGAGACATTTATTTACCGCAATATCGCGATATTCGATATATATACATACACATCATCGGCCTTAGAGCTCAGCAAATATATCATCTAAAGTTGACCAAAAAGCCAAGGAGACTGCTGAATCAGTTGCCAAGGTCATCCCACTTTCAAGTGATGTGGCGAGGTCTAACACTATCATCAAACACCAATTTAATGCTTCAATTTGTCAAAAGAACAAACATTTTATTTTGGACCCACTGAACCAACACAGTCTCACTCCCTGATAGCCCAATAGCGACGCTTGGTCACGGGGTTTGTCGAGCAAAGCGCATGGTGCAGACTCAAACGATAGCTGAGGATTATGGGTAGGGTAGTGTCTTCTGCCATCCTAAACTCCGATACAACTATTTGTTTCTCAGAGTCGAAGGGGAAAAACACAAAATCATTGTACACAATATAAACCAATCAATGTTGTGTAATTAACAAGGATAATCAGGTGTTTTTGAGTTGATGAATAGTGCAGATATCACTGTAAAATCAATCGACAGTAAGGAGAATACTTACTTCCGGGTGTGAAATCCTCCGTTATCCAATGGGAATGGATGCTCACATTGCCTTTAACTGCCGCCGACATGGACCAATGCGGTGCTTCCCTGAGCGTCAAATACCGCCGCCGATGGGAATACATTGCAATCTGTTGAAAGCTCTTTGCGTCCGTTTATGAAGCTGAAGGAGCCTCGGTGCGTCACAACTGCACACCAAAGGACCCTGACCAAGCGTCCCTATTGGACTATCAGGGAGTGAGAGTGTGTTGACTGAACCCGTAGGTCCAGAGAACTCATTACATTGAACTCCTGAAACAGGTTTCATGCTGCGTTGACATTGTTAGGACAAAATCTGAGCTCAGTGTGCCGAGGACAAAGCATCCATCACTTTGAAAGTCTTGTTTAACAAGCTGTCATGGAATAGTGTGAAGTACAGTAGATCTACGACCTAAATAAATATAGATCCTCTGTCTTCAGTCAGTTATGATAAAGAATATAAATCTATTATACAGTGTTTTTGCTTCATAAATATTAAGCTAACAATGGTCTTTTCATTTAGTTTTAACCAGCAGTGTTACAGACCCTCTGCACAAACAAAAAATATGTGAATGTCTGTGTGTTTGTTGAATTGAATCGCCAATTTAGATCAGATTAACTCATATACTGCCTCATGTTGCACTCAAGGCCACTTCTTCTGCTTTTAGCCGATGCTTCCACATGGTTTGATGCTGTGTGTTAGTTTTGTCAAGGCTCTTTACATGCACTAGTAGTCTTGCATCTTCGATGTTTTGGATTACAGCATAGTCACCGGAAAACGTTTAAAAGTCAACATCCGCCTCATGTGTGCGTTTGTTGATTCACTCTGCACTGTGGCAGTTGTGTTGGGCAGCACATGGCCTGGTGTGTGGTCTGAGGCTTAATTTGGGATTAACGCTCAGGATATTACAGATTACAACACTCCGTGTTTGACCTCTCTGCGTCTTGGCAGCCAGCGATGGATGGATGAGCTTTTATCTTTTAGTAGTTACAGCAACTTAAGACCAGAGCCTCCGATGAAAAGCTTCCAAACATGTTGTGTCACACTGTCAGCATGAAAGGGGGGGGGATTACACACCAGCATTTCTTTGAGTCATTCACGGACCTCAAGGCTTAACTCAAACCGTAATGAGCTTCCATTCAACAATTTATTGAGGTTTGCAGGGAGATGGGTTAGGTTTGCAACGACAAAAAGTTTAATCGATGATTGTTGAATAGGTTGGAAAATGTTAAACAAATTATTCCACAATCAGGGGCGGCGGGTACTGTAGGCTATAGGCCAAATATTTTTGTCACTGCATCCTGGTAAAATACAAATATAATGTTTGTGTCTTTGACATTAGCGCTGCTATGCAGCCACCTGTGCCCTGTAGGCCTACTACAAAGCCAGTTCAACATATCCTGGATATGCTTGAGTTATCTTAACTAACCCTAACAAACGAAATCTCGCTAAGTGGTCATACTACGCTGGTTAATATCAACTCGGTAAATCAAGCCAGGGTTTCCCTCACCAGCTGAGAGCGCGTTCACGTGAAAGGGGCGGGGTTAGGAACATTTGACCAATCACAAACAGGGACAAGTGTACTGACAACGCAGCGTCATACTTCATTAATGAAAAGTAAACTAATATTAGACAAATATTAAATTTAAACATCCATGATTTACACATAGCCTATAATCCAGGATACAAGCCACATAGTTGCACCTGCAAGGTGAATATGGTGAAGGTGAACTGGTTAAAAAATAAATAAACTACCGAGTGCCAGATACGGCTCCAGAAGCTGACTCAGATAAGGAAATAGGCCTACGATATATTATGATATTATATGATCGATGATCTGATTGAATGTGATATGAATGATAAGTGCGACATGTCGGTGTCTTCTCTGCATACGGCAGTTTAATATATTTGACTTGATATATTTAAACTCCCCACACTGAGGCGTCAGGTAAAAAAAAAAAGTGATTTAGCCTTCCCAAACCTGAGCCTCACGCGCCGCCTATGTCCACAACTAAATTCCATTGATGAAGAATATATATTAAGACTTCACAAGGTTTACTTCTACAGTTTAACATATGCAGTTCAATGTATTCTTCATGAAAAGTAACTTTGTTTTTGCTGTTGTATAGACAGGGAAGGTCTACTAAGGTGTCAGTATACGACAGTGCAGGACTGTACAAAATTGTGCACTATTATCCCTTTTGGACAATTCATTGCATCTCGCCGCACTCTGTCAGGGTTTCCACCCCGCCTTTGAGTGAGGCAGTTCAGAAAAGCTATAAACACCACCGCCTTGGATTTGTTCAGAAAATGGGACTCTCTCGTGGCTGTATTTTTTGCCAGAAAAAAAAAATCTTCCAAGGAATAACAGGCAAAAGTACTTCTAAATCATTATTACTGGCATTTAAATCCATTTATATCACCAATAGAAGTAGCATTACATTTAAAATTGTATTTATTACTTTGATTTCATTCACTTCAGAAAACATTTTTGTTTCCTTCTTTATCCCTCTCTCGAGTTAGATTCAGGCCCTAGCACAGAAACAAAAATATTTGTTTCCCATGTTCTTCAAGGAACATTTTCTGTTTACAAAATTGAGTGTACATTTTGTGAACGATACCATGCAGTGCATGTCTTTCTCTTCTGCGCTCTCTATCTCTGTCTCACACCCCTGCTGTCATCCGAGGGCCAACTGCCAGCTGCCCCCGTACTTCTCTGTCCTCATCCATATTTGATGTGTCTCATTAAAACTTGATTGTGGAAACACTTCAGCATTCTGACATTCCTTCTGATCCACTATTTAGTCACCCTCAGCACTTCCGAGTGAGATAGCCCCCCTCGGTCATGCGTGTGTGACCTGAGAAAGAAGAAACTTAAACACAAACACTTAAAGTTTTAAAGAAGACACGCTACTTTATCCCTGATGAAAATGCCTGATTTGAAACCAACAGTCTGATGCCTCCAAGTGCACTGAGTAAATTACGACAGTTGGTATTTTAGAGCGGGGTAAACAGACGATAGGAGATGCTTCATTAAACATTCAGTATGACGGTTAAGTCGTTCTTGCTTGTTTCCTGAGTTTTTGCCATCTTACATGCAGGACATAGACTTTTCTGCTCATTTCGAGGCAGCATAACAAGGGTTTACCCATGTGTAATTATCACAACCTGCAAAAACCAACATAACTACCCTAAAGGAAAAACAAAATGGTTTGGCTTGGTTGTGTATTATTTATAATAATTGAAAGATCTAAGACCATTATTTACATGTAAACATAAATAAAATAAAAACAAAGCGGAAGAACAATAACTAGGACATTGTCTTTATAAATTATAACAAAGAAAAGTTCCTATGTTCTTGCTGTTTTAGCAATAACACCAAGTCTTATTAACTGCATTTTGGTCACCACTCATGTTAGCCTCACCCCATTAGAGTGATGGGCATCTACTTAAAGCAAGCACACACACACACACACACACACACACACACACACACACACACACACACCACACACACACACACACACACACACACACACACACACACATACACACACATGCAAAACACACCTTGCTTGCCTCACTTGAACCCGTATAAGATGCTTCTTTTTAGCCAACACCGAGAACCCATCAATCCTGCTGAAGGCCAGAGTCACACACACCCATGCAAGTGCACACACTTCATTGTTTGACTATTCCACAGTGTAAATATCAAGCCTCTTGTTTAGTCAATGTGAATGCTCACAGGTGGGCGTGTGCATTAATACACGTGCCCTGACAAGTGTTTGTGTGTGTCGCGAATGCTAACGTGTGTTTAACCCTGTGTTTGCTCTGCAGAGCCCCAGCTGAAGGGCATCGTCACGCGGCTTTACTGCAGACACGGCTTCTACCTCCAGATGCTGCCGGGTGGCACCATGGAAGGCACAAAGGACGAAAGCAGCTCCTTCTGTAAGTGAACAAACACACACACACACACACACACACACACACACACACACACACACACACACACACACACACACACCACACACACACACACACACACACACACACACACACACACATCACACAGATAGTTTGATGAGGGTGTGTATCTCAAAGCTCTGTAATATACAACAAGGAGTTTCCCCTGCTTCTATGCCAAAGGACATTTTAAAAGGGACTTCCCAACAGGACGGTCGTACATCTCTAATTTGTACAGCACATGCATGCAGGATAATACTGCCAGCTAAAAGGCATTTGTTTTTAAAATACTGTATATAACAGCAGAACCCCTGCTTAATTTGGAACATAATGTAGGTTTAAACTTGGGGAATAACACAGGATGTCGTTATATCCTAGATAATGTTTTTAACATACTAGTTTAATTTAACTTACATTCTATACATCACCAGTGGCGTCGCCTAAGCCCCGCATGTCTTTTCTGTAGCCCCGGACAATTCTCCCTCAATAATATAAACAGGGGTGCTCATAACTGGTATGCATGCACGGCAAAAATCTGAATTGCATAACGTCACTTGTGTGATTACAAGCCTTTGTGTACCTCAAAATATCAAAACAAAACATATTTCGTCTACACGTGTTTCTTGTCAACACTCAATGGAGTAAATACGACATTATGCAGCTATGTTGCCGTTTCGCTCCCTGCAAAACATCTTCGGACTTTCTATGACTGATTGTACTGGGTGCTGGCCGAGCCGCGCAGGACATAACCGACGGACCTGTGAAGCTTTACAGGAGGCAGAGGCTAAGATCAGTGGACGACACAGTTGTTCACCGTGTGTGCGTACCTACAGGGTTTACGTCGGTATGAACAACAGAATTGTGCCAAAACTCCACCAACTCGCTGCAGTGGGAGACTCCTCTGTTACAGTAAAAATCCTGCATTCAAAATGTTGCTCAAGTAAAATTAGAAAAGTATAATCAAAATATAGTTAAAGTACCAAAAGTAAAAGTATTCATTGTGCAGATTGTTCCATTTCAGAATAATATATATGATGTGTTTTATAATTATTAATCATTAAAGTGTTATCAAAGCTGACGCTGTAAAGGTGCAGCTAGTTTTAAAGACTTTGTATACTGCAGGGTAGCTTGTGAATTTACTCCAGGTGGAACTAAACTCTGATTTCACATCATTAATCCAGATCTGTAAAGTAACTAAAGGTATTCAATACATGTAATGGAGTAAAAGCACACCATTTATCTCTGAACTGTAGTGGAGTAGAAGTACAACGTATCAAAGTCAAGTAAAGTACAAATATCTCAAAATTGTACTAAGTACAGTACTTTAATAAGTGTACTTAGTAACTTCCCACATTTGAAATCAGATATGACTTCAAGTCATGTGATAATTTCTTAGTATTTGATCCTTCAACTTGGCCTCAGGAAATACAAGGACTTCACAGTTTTAGCAACACATTTTGGAGAAAGCAAATCGGAGGCTTAAAAAGAGACAGAGAGGTGCATCTTCTAGCATGCAAGACGTGTAAATAGAGGACAGTGAAGGAGACACTGAGGAGGTCCACGCTTCGTGTGGGGTGAGTACTATTAGCTTTGTTCGTTATTCTCGCGTCCAAGAGAGAAGCTTAGGATAAATGAGACCAATGGAGTCTCTGGCATAAGGTTCAAATGGGTACTTTAATTAAAATGGCGCGGTAATGTTACAAGCAGAATATGGTTCAGAGAGAAAACAGCTGTGTTCTCGGAGTCTCGAGAGCCAAGGAGAGAGCGAAACACGCACATCAGCTCCTTAAGTATCCTCCTATGCCCCTCCTCGTGTGCCGTTTGGCGCTGCTGGGGGTCCGCCCTCCACATGTCTTCAATGTCCGTTGTTGCGCATAACAGAGGACTCAGCCATTGTACATGCAATACATAACTAAACACGCCTTTTCTCCTCATTCTCTTTCATGACTTTTCATTTATTGCATTTTAACGGCTGTAATTCATTACTTTAATAATGCTGGAAATACTTCATGGCAGTTATCATTTACGGTAGTTCCGGATGTTGTCATGATGCTACCCACGTCTGTAAACAAAACGTATTCAAATACACTGTACCTTCATTTAATATTCAGCAATAATAATATCTCGACGTCTATAGTGTTAAAATCAGTAGGTTTCGGTGTGCAACACTCCGTGTCATTTCGCTTCTATATTCACTTCTGTAGGAAAAGGAATATTAGCCTGCTAAATACTAACCGGAGATGAAGGATTTTCAGAATAAAAGCTTGGCATTAAGATTGTGCGAGAACTTCTGGTTTTTCAGAATAAAACAGCATTTAAGCTGACGGTATGTTTAAACTAAATTATGCCATAAAACATTGATTTTAATTTCTAACAGTACCAAACGCTGTCTCCTGGTACTCATCTGAGTAACTGACTAAAAAAGTTGTGTGCACCCCTGAATATAATACATTCATATATTAATGAATAATCGATTAAGCCAGGGCTGTCCGATTTTCGAATTTGATCATGGTCAGTTTCTGGCATCCCTAATTGATGCTTAGGGATTGATACCCCCCTAGAGGATGTTAGGTCCACTAACCACTTATAAAATACTAATTTACACCCAAATGCCGTGAGCTGATTATCGAGCCTTCATTGTATGTGCGTGTGGGGAGTGTTGCAGTCGAAAATTCCACTGTAGCGCCCGGTACCTTAATGGGAAACCCTACATGTTTGAGCACCCTCTATGAAACGTCAAGCTACCCCACCAGCACCCCCAAAAGAAAATCTCTGGCACCGCCACTGTGGGCTAAGCCCCTAATGTTTCCGGGTCCAAGAAACGCCCCTGGTCATCACTATGCAGACTATCCAAAAAGAAAAATATACCTTAATATGAAACAGAATATGTTTTGACTTGGTTTGTCTGTCTGTATGTCCGAGTTCAGCAGGATTAAGGAAGAACATTTGCCCAATTTCCATACTACTTAGCAGAGGTGTGGACTCGAGTCACATGACTTGGACTCGAGTCACCAATTTGATGACTTGCGACTCGACTTGGACTTGAACACCAATGACTCGGGACTTGACTTGGACTCGAGCCTTCTGACTTGAGGTGACTTGATACTTTAATTCAGAGGTCTCCAACACGCCGATCGCGAGATGCCGCTAGAAGAGCAGACTCCAGTCGGGGAAAGCAGAATCTTCAGCCGCTCCTACTCTTGCTGAGAATCCTTGCAGGCAGGGGCGGGTCTTTATTTAGCTCATACCATTATGTGAAAGAAGGGTGGGGGGCACAGCAGGTGTAGTGGTACAGGCCAGCTGCACAGAGCGACGGGGAGATGGATTTAAATGCAAGTGCGTTGGAAAAATCAAGAAATGAGCGAAAACCGAAAAAAGAAGCAGCATCTGGCTGCTTTTCAATGATATTGGAGAAAGCAAAGCTGAGTGCAGGATTTGTAAAATGAAAATACACTTTTTTGGTTACCTTTATTTTGGTAACCTCAGGATTTACTGTCAGATGTGGGAGAGGTTCAGATCTTGTACTTGAGTACAAAAGTACCAGAGTGTAGGAATACTCGGTTACAATAAAAAGTCCTGCATTCAAAATGTTACAAGTAAAAGTACAAAAGTATTAGCATCAAAATATAGTTAAAGTACCACCTGCAGAGGGATCTAGATTCAGGTGTTCTCTTCCCCATAGAGACCGCCTGGCTGCACATTATCCCTTGCATAAAGATAGATTGTGGGTCCCTTATAACATGTTGTACACAGTGGAAATAAACATTCTGGTTACCTCAACATCAGGGATCTTATCAATTAAACTCCTTCTGAATCAAACCGTCACGGTAGCCTTACCTTACTGATCCCTCTTAAATTAGAAAAACACACGTTACTTTACCAGCAGAGAGAAAATTGATTATTAAATTATTAATGTGACTAATAAAGAGCAGTTTGATTATTAAGTATTATTCTGTTGATCGATGTCATTACATTTGGTGAAAAGCACATAATGACTTGTTTATGACTCGTTTTGTCAAAGTTTAGGACTTGACTTGAACTTGAGCACAAATATTTGAGACTTCACTCGGACTTGAGCGCCAAGACTTGAGACTTGACTCGGACTTGCAAAACAATGACTTGGTCCCACCTCTGCTACTTAGTACAAGTGTAAAGCATGGTCCAAAGAAGAACTCATTATATTTTAGTGGGCTTCTGAATCATTGGGCAGATATTCAAATTAAATGTCACGTTTGTTTACATTGGAAGATTCAACATTAAACTAGTTCCTTTGAATTCAAGTGAACGCTGGTCAAGTAGGACCAAGTTGGATACATATCAATATGCAGAGGTGGGAGTAAATCTTACATGTGCAAGTCTCAAGTCTTAACCTACAAGTCTCAAGCAAGTCCCAAGTCACTGTGGTGAGAGTCAAGCAAGTCAAATCATTGCTCAGATCAAGCAAGTCACACACAATTCTGATGAATAACCCAGTTTCAGCATTTAAATCAGTTCAAATATTGTGGATATGAAAAGATTAGTTTTATTTGCAATGGAGAGTGGGGCGCTGAAATGATAACCCTATAAGTTCTAAAAGGGCTCTAAAGTGATAACAGGAGTACAACACAAATATTTTACATCAACATGTTAAGCATCCTACCCTGGCTCCCCTTCAGCAGGGTCACAGCATTTCTCCATGGTCTGTCTAAGGTGCTTCTCATATGACTGTCTCATTGTTTTTCTAACTGTGTCTGTGCACAAATAAATAGTGCATCAAAGTCAATACAACGGAATAGTGTACCAGGGTGCATTATATGTGTGTGTGTGTGTGTGTGTGTGTGTGTGTGTGTGTGTGTGTGTGTGTGTGTGTGTGTGTGTGTGTGTGTGTGTGTGTGTGTGTGTGTGTGTGTGTGTGTGTGTGTGTGCTGCAGACAGTGCGACATTAAGATTAAACAAATGTCTGTCATTTGGGAACACCCACATATACGGAGTTGACCAGATGTGTG